ACTAGCAATGAAGCTTGATGGGGCAACGGTTAGTTAAGTACCAAATCTAAAGAGCATATTGCGAATATCGACATTACATCTATTGGAAAATAGTACTTACTGTTCAAATAACGAGCACGATTGAACATGATTGACGTAGTATGACAGGCTCAATAATGATTTCATAGATAAAATCAAGTATTTGTAAATAATATCAGTTAAAATATAAGAGCAGATTCTTTGACACTGGTAATAGGAAAATGAAAAAGACTACTATGTCTTGATAAGATAACAGAATATATCATGCTTCGAAAAGTTTGATATAAATGTATACTCATTCTTCGTACCAAACGATAGCAAGACTAAACACTATATTCAAGAGACTTCCACCTGATCTAACTCTCTATTTCCGTTTATCATGAACTTGAGTAAAGCCATTTCCAGAGCCAATCTACAATTCTCGAATACAATATTATGTTTACTTTATCAACAGAATATTTTCCACGCAGCCTCAGCGTTTTGGGCCAATGAAGACTTGTACAACTCTGCATCAACAGACCTCAATGATGGAAATGCCAAGTTCAATGCATTTAGCAGAATAGGCTTCGATTATGTGTGCATCGGAATGAAGTCTAAGGGTGACGCAATAGAGAACATCAAGTGGCTAAAGATACCAAAATCTTCATGTTCTTTGTTCGAGATCTTTGCACCTGGTGAAAGCTCATTTACGAATATCGCTATTGAAAAATGGAAGGTTTTGGTACCACAAAACGGCAACCCCCTGCAAGGTAACTGCAATAGGCAAGGATTCAACATTAAAACAGATAATCAACAAAGTATTTTCGGTAGAATCGGCATAATGGGTAACAATGAAAATGAATGTATCTCGCCAGATTCTGGAATTGGAGTGGGTCTAGATGGACGTATTGATACAACTTACAGTGGAACTCGCCATGCCAAAAATCAGGCTTACATTTTCATCCAATAGTGTTGTGTCTAAGTGATTTTGGATGTCGTGCACTTTTGCATAGTAAGAAACTCTTGTTGATGTTTGCCCATGCTTTGCCAAACCTTTTACCCAACGTTCTTTTATACAAAAGATATTTTATCCTCTGAATATTACAAAACATAAAACAAACATAGAAGATTTTGAATTGTTGTTATTTTAGTAAGTAGCCCAATCAATAAAACGTTTCTATTCAGTTAACACTGCAAGAATTTTCTCAAAGATATTCCAATGGGCGTTAATTACAGAAAATATGATTCTCCGAGGTAATAAATAATGGCGGGGGGGGGGGGGGCAGGCGTTGGCTCAAATGAATGGGAATCATAGCCAAGTCTAAAGTTTGAACTTTTAGAGGAGAAGTATTGTTTGAAGTAATTACATCGACATATTGAATTTCGATAATTCAGTCGAACATTTGTCGATGAAACAGTGGGACTGAGTTTAAAAAACGATACATTCATTTCTGATCTAGGAGTGAAGATAGATAGCATCATAGGATTTTTATCTTATAATATTCCTAGTTGTCTTGGTTCAATTGTTATTACATCTTCATTTACCAGTTTCTGGTCAATTTTAGGTTTTTTTTAATTTTGCCACTTTGCTCGAAGCTTTGTAAAATTTCTTTGTGTTGATTTATTTCACTATTCGCATATTTTCAGAAAGCTACTTTAAAGGCAATCTGTCTCGTTTTGGATTGGTTAACGAGAACAATAGCTGTAACAATAGCCTAAACACGATTCCAGCGCTCCGCCATATTTTTTACAATGCGAAAAATTAAAGGGAGATTGGAAACAATAACAATCTCTTTGTTCTTATAACTAATCAACGTCGTGACAGATCGCCTTCAAGCTTGATAAATTCGATTGAGACGATTTTAGTTTACCAACGTTGGCATGTAAATACTCTAAGTCAAATTAGTGTATTTATGCATTTAGTTTATTGAGTCCTATTTGCACTGAGGTTGTTTTCAGAATTTTTTGGTTCATATTCCACTCGATTAACAAAAATTGACAAGCATACGTCTATTTCTATTGTGGATTCTACTCTACAAAGTATTTATAATTTCCGCTTCCTATTCATGATGTCACTTTTATGCTTGACAGGCTCCATAACACAGTGTTATGGGACATTGGACAAAAAATTTCGAATGATGACGTATTAGAAATATCTTTTTTTAATACTTTTGTATTGTTTCTTGATAGCCTTGAAATAAAAGCCAATATATTTTGTAAAAAAATATTACTCGGAATGACAAAGCCGCCTAAGCGGATTATTCTCTTTCTTATAATAATATTAATAATAATATTTATTATAGTAACATCTATACAGGGTAAGGCATTTTCAATACCACGACCCCCCTGTTTGAAAGAAAAAAGTAACTCATCAAAATACAGAGGAAAAGACTAAAATGTCTCTCAACATTTCTTTATAAATGAAGATTGAGGAGAACGAACATGAGGAGAACCTCTTCATTGAGGAGAACGTGAGGAAAAAAAATGTCATGATTCTCCTGTGCAGTAAGCCGCTGATTTGACTGAGCATTCATGGCAACTCTGCTAGTTACCTGTTACCAAGCCGCTAGTTTCCTACATAAATTACAAAAAGAAATGGCGGATACAGAGCATAAGGCTACGTTCACACTACTCCGTAATCGTTTCGCTCCGTTTTCGTTGATGAAAACGCTGTCCGTTCATATTTATCTGTTTTCATATGAATTCGATTTGAATACGGTAAGTGTTCACATTACTCCAACAAAAACGCTATTGGTGGCCTCATTTTTGAAAAGAGGCGTTCACGAATCCTCAACAAATTGGCGTCATTATGAATGAAATTAAATAAAAGCAAATCGTGAATAAAAGCAAAGCAAAACTTTGTTGTAACAGTTACCAGTCCATTGTGAATTCTCAATTTCAAAATTTTTTAGATTTGGTGTGCTACAAAACGCGTAATTTGTTGCCGATGTTAGCGTATTCAAATGTCTCCGTTTTTGGTGTTCACACTGAAAACGGAGCGTATTCAATACGCACAGTATTCGAAAGTATCCGTTTTCATTAGCGTTTTCAAACGACTCCGTTTTCATAGCAGAGTAATGTGAACGCAAGGCAAAAACGGATTAGATTGACTCCGTTTTCATTTGAAAACGGAGTAGTGTGAACGGGCCCTAAGTATGCTGGTGATGGCAATCAGCATCAAATGTCATCTATTCATGATCATTCTAATGTTTGCGCCCGGCATTTTGAAGCTTTGAATAACTTCTTGATTGCCGCGTTTTTTTGTGCTTTGGTTGAAGCACAGCGCACAGGTGTGAACAAAGTGAATGCAGAAACGTAAGAAGCAGGATGGCTATCTTGAAAACATGGAATGTGGAATATTGGAATGTTGGAATGTAAATTTATATAACTATATAACTACATGCTAACAAGCATATTTGTGTTACCTTGCAAAGGATAACTTTCTTCTATTCACATTCCAACATTCCAACATTCCACATTCCATGTTTTCAAGATGGCCGAAGCAGGTTAGTCGTCGACTTCCCTGAACCTTATAAGAATAACAACAAGTATAAAACAGGCTAAAATACTTAAACAAGCCGTCTAGAACAAGCTATTAAAGACTCATTGCTAATAATGGGCCTTTGCGAGCGTGGTGACGATCCAAACAATGGCAGTAAACTTCTACGGATTAACCAAAGTTGATTTCAGACTGTGTAGGCATTAGATACGTTACTGTCTCAATGCTAAATAAAATTCAAGTGTTAAGTGGAAAATGTTCCTTATGTTGATGATTCTTTCACTCACTGCCCTACCTAGTAAAATCATTACTGCTTCTATAGAAATATAGTTTTCTGAAAGCAACCCTAAATTCTTTGATGGAAATGAAAGTAGAAGATCTCAACAATCAAAGTAGACCGAAGCGTGTGCTAGAGTTGCCAATGTTATCAGTCGCCAGAAGACAACAAAGTCTTTTGCATATTTCCTTGGAAATTCTTCCTGTTGCAGAATGGAAAATCTTTCTAGCAATGCGTTAATGTCAACCGAAATATACTAAAGTGGCTTAAGCTTTGTCATCTGCCAATCAAGATTGACAGATGTCATCTGCCAATCAAGATTGACCAGTCAATAAGCGTAATACCACTCTGAAATTTAAATAGATGGATGTCTATTCCCTAAGATTTCACCATAGACTTGTTTTCGTTGTTAGCATATTAAGGAAAGCGATTTGTCGTGCTCAAAGTAACACCCTGCGTGTAACTGGGGCCCTTCGCCAGGAACCTTTCGATCCTTGCTTTGAAATCCATGCATACAGTAAGCCTCTCTATTCCACGGGGTAAGTAGTCGTGGCCTGGCTAATGCCGATTTTTGTTGTTAAGGATTCATTTTGGTTCATTGACAGCTTTGATGATGAAACAAAAACACCTGCTTGTATACAACCTATCAATTACGATATGTGTACTAATTGTATAGTTTGCAAAGGGTGTATTTACTCTCGACGTACTTTTAGATTAATTATTCAATAGTTTTTTCTAAAAGCAATAGGTATTCTTCGATGCATCAAGGCTCAATCCAGAAACACCGATTCTGCCAGGGAAAAATGGATTTCCTTTTCGTCAGACTTTGCATCTGGTTGATAAGGTAGGCACAATGATACTTTTAACAATTATCCAAATACCTAGGTTTCTGGTCAAAGATTGCCAGGTCAGGCTTTGGCATACTTTTAATTGATATCCAAATAGCCAGACATCTAACCAAAGGTGGCTAGGTCATGTTTTGCCAAACTTGTAGAAGTTTTCCAAATAGCCAAGCATCTATTAGCGGATGACCAGGTCATGCTTCGCCTTTAGCTATTTTTGGAAACCTATCAGAAAGCTTAAAAGTAGGATTTACTTAATTTGAAGGTGTAAAGATAATGAAATGCTTGAACAGATAAGAAAAAAAACCCATCTGTGACATTTAAAAAGCTTACAAAAAGAAAAGAAAATATTTTGGAAACCTTCAATGATATTCTAGAAACTTAATGATTCTAAAAGAGAATGATTTTAGGGGTGCCGCTCTGTAACTTTCCGCTCAGTAAATAGCTTAAACCTTGGTGAGGCTCATCAGTAATGTTTTAGAAGAAGAAAGCATTCATTTTTGTGGTGCTTCTGATTTACTGGCTCACTACATAGCTCATTTTCTTCCCACTGAGGTGCGTGGTGCAAGACATTTGCACTAGAGACCTCAAATGGGCCTCAAGGATGACGTCAGATTTCGTAGGCCATAGTCGCTTGGTCTTCTTAAAACCGAAAAGTTTTCCCTCGTTCACAATTTCTCGACTGGCTAACGAAGTTATCAGTATTTTTCCAACGAAGCATTGTTCCTTTTTGACACAAAAAACGGCCAAACCAAACATCTCAGGAACTATGCAATTCATATGCGAAAAAATTTAATTGTTCGCGATACCATGATGGAAATTCCAGTCTCTCAGGTGGGGCAAACCAGCGAAAGATTAACGTTGGTTAGGGGCCACCCTCTATTCTTTTGGCCATGAAACTTCTTTAGAATAGAGAAAAATACTTCAAGAATGAAAGTATGAATTTCGTTGACTAAAAATGGACCTTGTTTGAGCTACAGAGGTATTATACAAATCTCCATGATATAGGCCGCAATTGTGTTTGTTGCAGTTTTATGCCCCACTTTTGTCATGGCGCGCGATCTCCGAGAGGGTCTATTTACAAGGCGCCGTAAAGGGCCTTAAAAACAGAGACTGCTTCAAATTCATAAAAGTAGATATGCTTATCTTGCTTACAATTACAAACAAAGCAAGAAGGAAAGGAAAAGACGTACTCTGCAAAAGGCAACAGGAGGGACATATTGGTCAAAAGGCGAAGAGCGAGATTTACTCTGCAAAAGGCAAAAAAGGAGATATTCACTCATTTTTTATAAGAAACAAAGGTCGATGTTTAGTACTCCAGGTTCTTAATTATGATGTCATAAAATGTTCGTGACCTTTTTATCACGTCAAGAGATTTGCTTCCGTTCCGATGCTGTATTTAGATGTGGGAAGTACATTTTTATCCCTCGTGTCTTAAGTTCTAGGCCAACAGGGCAATCTTGTTCTTGGATTTTACAAAATTTCGTTGTTCTCAGTTTTATCACGATTTAATAGTTTCTCAATTTTTTGATTCGAGTACTGGAGTTTCTTAATTTTTTCTGACTGTCCAGTACTCGTTTCTTATAGCCAGTTTCTTATAAGAAAATGAGTGTACTCTGTAGAGAAAGAGATTTACTCCAAAAGGCACACTGGGAGACACATACTGGTCAAAAGACAAAGAAAGAGATTTACTAGCTACTCCTCAGGACACACTGCTCGGATATGGATGCTCAACGTCCAGTTAATTAGGCTGTTATGACTCGGTTTTGATTACCTAGAATATAGTCTACCAGGATTCTAAATTAATATTTAATAATGTTTTACGAATTCCTTCTATGAAAAAGACAATACAGCCTTTTAACAAGACACCTGCACAATAATTGTATCTATTGAATCGCATAAATACAATGTTCTGAATGCCTTTAGAAATACCGCACTCTAATGGTATTGAAATTATAATTAATAATAAACTAATTGATTCAAAAGATTCAATTTTTCACAAGTAATGCTATTCATTAATGGTGAATTATATCGGGGGGCAAATCACTCTAAGAAAATCTCGTACACTATTTATGAAAATCCTATTGTTTTATCTGGAAATCCCCAAAAATCCTTTAGGAAAAATATCGTACGGTAATTTGCAAGAGTGAATCGTCCCTCGAATTATATAACCATTCCTAGTGTAGGCATTAAGTTGAAATGGAAACTAGGCTTTATTTACTAACTTCCTGTCACTTTGGGCCAATGGCAACAACCGACGTGCAAAAATATTTCCATCAGGAACAACACTTCTATTGTTCGTGCCTCTCCATAAATTTCAGAAATCCTTTGCTTCAAGAGATAAATTCCTTTTGTTCTTATCATTCTCAAACTATGGTGTTCCTCTAATAGTTCTCTCTGTTCTACAATGTTGCTTTTATTCTTTCTAACCTGCATATCCCTTCGTTTAAAAATCATAAATTTTTAAGGCAATCCTTTCTTCCTCAGTTTTATAATTGTCTTTTGTTTTTTAGCTTATATTTGAGAAATCTTTATAATCTCGAGCTTTTGATCCAAATGTTCTAATATTTAAAGCATTTTGAAGGCCTCGAAAAGGAGGGGACTACTTAACATTAAACCAATAATAGGCCCCCAACAAGACCGTAATAGACACACATGAGGAGCATAGAATATGTGTAACATTACGAGTAACGCTTTAAAATTGTAGCATTAAATTTATAAACAATAACTAAACAAGTAAAATCTCATTTCTGGTTTAATTCTAAGAAAAACCGATCCTTTCAATCTTTAGTTAATATATTATTAAATTATTGATAAAATTACCTTATTTCTTATATTTAGAAACCATTAAAGTGTTGACATATCATTCTAAATCCTTGATTCCTTGAAAAGTTTGGCTTGAAAAATTAAATATGGTCATAGTATTACTATATCATGACATTAACTATACAAGGCAAACCATTACTTGTTTTTTAAAGCTGTTTGAGTATTATGGCAAATAATATAAGCAGAAATTTAAGCTTGGTCACTTTCAAAGGTAGAAATAACATCTTACAGAAGAATGGCATTTAGCTTTAATAAACATACTTCAAGGATACCAGAAAGCTTTTGATGTACAACCTTTAAACCAAGTTGCGAACCTACCACTGACTAATACAAATTATTTCATCTAAAAGTGAAGAAGGGCAAATTTAATGCAAAGGACTAACTTTGCTGCTAAAATATACGTAGGGCAAGGTGATAGCCTTCCTAACAACCATTATTTAAACCTGAAAGGTAAGGAGATGCAATATATTAGATTTTCTATCTTTCTATGCAGCATACTATCCAGTGTTAATCTTGCTATGTGCTGGATTTTACGACTTCCTTGCAAAACAGAGGCGAATTTCACCATATCAGCAGTTGGGTATGCCCTAGAGCACAACGTATTGATGAAACTGACGCTTCCTCTGGATGAATGCAGGGAAAATTGCATTTATACAGCTTACTGCAAATCTTTCAATTATAAGCAATCTGGACTCGAAAATTGCGAGCTGAACAGTGAGACAAATGTAACGAAACCAACCAATCTGGTTCAAAAAAGTAACTGGACATACTTCGCAACAAACCAGTTTACAAGAGCAGTGAGTATCAAATACCAATAGTATTATTTACAATGTCCATAACCTTAAATTGTACCTTTTATGACTGAGTACAAGGCAGTTACATTTTAAAAGCGCTAAATTTTTGGAATTAATTTTTGCGGACGAAGCAAGATAGGATATTCACCACTTAAACCATCGCGTTTTAGTAGAAATCATGAATTTCGCGGGAAAAACATTTCTATATAACTGAGGTTCATTCTTTCTTCCTTTTTATTCTTTTCTCAATTCTAAGTATCTACGCTTGGTGACCTCTCAGAACTAATGTCTGTTTCAAAAGGACATAACAAAACTTCAAATTCATAGAAATTCTACTTGCAAATAAACTAAACTACACACATTTTAATCAATATCTTAAAAGACAATAATGATAGTTATACGTTTCTAAAAGATATAAATACTTCTTAAGTATACGAAAGTAAACAACTGAAACCAATTTGCAAATTCTTCCCGCAAAACCAACCAAAAACAAAACCAGCACAACAACGAATAAAAATAGAAATTCTTTATACATAATCATTTGTCGTCAAATATTCCACAAGGGTCAAAGCAAAGTTCTCTGGATATTCAGCGAGAAATTATATTCGCAAGTTTGTATTTCATCAGGATCTTGTTATTGTTCTGCGATTATTTCGGGCAGAAATTTTTGAATATCAGTTCGATCCTGGCGTCCTTGGTGCGGCGGTGGACCAATGCACCTATAGCTGAGCTGATCTTAGTTTCTCATCATTACGTTTATCCTAATTTGAACATTTCACTATATTCACTATTTCACAGTCACTATTTTCCGATTCGTTAGAGACACGATATGTGATTTATTCAGAGACTTTGACATCCAGCTGGCTTTTATTGGCAATCCTCTCTGACTCGTCATTACTTTCGTAAGCTTTAATGAATTTTGTACAATCGACATGAATTGCAGTATAAATGATTAGCCTGTGCTCAAGACCCCTAACTTAAAAGTAGAGGGTCTGTGTGACCGAGAGCATATTGTGTACGAGGATTGAATTGAATTGTTTGCTTAATTATCACAGGTCGGTGTAATCATGCAAGAAGAATCGCTAATTTTTTTGATCGGTCGTGGCGGTATGATATAGATTTATTTGTTAGAAGAATATGTTGCGCAGCTATTTGATGTTGAAAATCTTTGTTGTGACATTTATTGGTTCTGACCAAGACAGAATAATAAAGGGTCTGTGGGCATTTTACAGCGGTTGATGGGATCTACCGCAGCAATCGAAGTATAATTGACTTGGCAAGCAACCGATTTGCTTTGAGTAGACATTTGGTTTTGCATAGTAGAAGGTAGCTATTTACTAATTTGGCTTGAATGTAATGTAAAGAATGATTTTTGGGGACAAGATCTGGTGGATTCGATAATGAAAAGCATGACTTTCGGAGTAGCGATAAGAAATGGAAACCGAAAAGTAAAAAAGACGCTTTGGCTTCAAGCGGTAGAAAATGATCCCTGCTTATAAACGCAAGTTTACAGACAATGGAAGACTAGTGAAACAGTTATCATTGATCCGGACAAGGCTGCCTAACTGAGTGAACTAATTTTTCTAGCAATGTGAGGCAGTAGGCCTAGGCCTAGGCCTTGTACTTTTCATCAATTCTATTCATCATGATAGCGATTGCTTTGCTATAAACACGTCTTCTAAGTTTGTTGTTTTTAATTAGAAATTCTGATGTTTAAAAATGATTTTGTAATGCTCATTAACACATAGGGGAGAGTTATCAACAACAAGCGTGTGTTTTGATAGAAATTCGTTCACCGGTTTTGAAGTGTTTCCATCCTCGCGCCGGGTGACAATTATCTAGGCATCATGATATATTCAAGGCTTTCAGGCCTCATTGTGACATTTTCTGACATAATAAAGAGAAACTTAGAATTTGCACTCAAATGCCGCATAATTCTTTGATTACTAGGAGGTTAGCAAATGCTTTCTCCCTCCACTTACAAGTTGAGTTTTTGGGCTATGGAAGGAAGACATCGGTTGACTGTGGAGAAGACCGTGGTGAAGGGGGAGGGCTGGGGGCTTAACCCTCCCCATCTCTTTTTGTCAAAAATGCAAAAATATAAAAAATCAAGCACCAATCAAGCCACTTTTAATTAGCCTGTGTTCCAGAGGGGACTGGAACACAGGACTTGGTCATTTTTTAGACGCCTCACAATTCTTAACGCTCTTCGCTGCATGTTCAATGGCTGATTCTAAGTTCAAGTGTATTTTGGTAAGAACATTCTTCTCAGGTATTTCTCTTCCTGGCTTTTTGGAGAATGTAGTATAATAGCGAGAAAAGAGTTTTTTTAGATTTCTGGCAAGCAGGGTAATTTTTTCAGAAGTTTCCTGCGTTTCAGTTTCTATAAATAGGCCTAATTATACAAATGTTATAACTATAATAGGCCTAATTCAAATGAAATAGGGACTTTGGTTTTTAACAGTTATCGTAGCATCTTTTTACAATTAGTATTCACTATTCTTTCACTCAATATCCTTGTAATATTTAGACTCTAATGTTTTAATATTCTTGTTATGTTCTTACACGGCCTGTGGATGAGCCGGTATTTTTTAGACACTAATACTTTAAAAATGACTTTGAAAAAGCAAACATTTAGAACACACTTAAGCTTTTCGTCTAACAGTCCTCAACAAACCCAACCTCAACAGTCATGTGCTCGCGTTTCTGATTGACCTTATTTCAATCCACAACTGGGAATTTACATTTCCTAACGTAAAGTTTTTGGTCTATGTTCTGACATTATATACTCTGAAGAGTGGCAGACAAAAGCTCAAGTATGTTCTAAAAATTTGATTCTTTCAAAGCAATTTTTGAGTTTGTACCACAAAAAGATTGTCTAATGCTTTACTTTCCTTGTTATGTTTTCACACGGCTTTGTGGAGGAGTATTTTGGTATCCATTCATTTTGATTTTCTGATAGCAAGAGATAGGTACTTTTTACTTATAATATCTTTTTTACAACCTAAAATTATGTACATACATAATACATGTAACACAATCTAACTTATCCTGGTTTAAGATATAGCATTCCAATTTTTTCCTTAGATAGTGGCACTTTTATTCTAATGATACTCGCATCTGTTTTAAAATTCAGATTGGATCACTATGCCAGAAACTTAGGCCCTGCAGTGCACAGCAATTCTGTATTGACGACTGTGCATGCCCGGGTTATCGTTGTGTCAGTTGTGCGCAGGCTTATGAAGCCTCCTTTGGATGGTTTGACTCAAGCAAATGTGAGTACAGTTATTCTTTATTGTAAAGTTTCCTTGCTGTCATTTGTTTTTCCGAGCTAATTCTCTACTGGCAAGAACTTCTTTTGAAATCATGCGTGGCATTCCACAGTTCTGATTATCAAATAGAACCTTATAGCCTCATGTTTCTTGATGCTGGGCTCAATGACGAAAATTTTGAATTTTCTTTAACTTTGCGATATTTTAGTTCAGCCATCTTGCAAAAGCATTCAAGCTTCGGGCATCACAACAAGTGGAAGTTATTCGCTTGATGGCATTGGAAATCACTACTGCATGATGGGTGGCGACTGTGGACCAGGAGGTTGGACACTAGCAATGAAGCTTGATGGGGAAACGGTTCGTTAAGTGCCAATTTTTTTCAACATAATGTTGAAAGTGGTCTATTTGCCTTTCGTGAATAACTTTATAAGACTGACAATTTTTAAAATTTACAGTAAATAATTTTAAGACAACTTTTCTTCATTTGACTTTCATCAAGAACAAGCATGTACAAAAGTTGAATTGAGCCTTGAATGCTAATTTTGATCAAATAAAAGTTACTATGCAGCTGTTTACATGCTGTCATTTTAGGATTACATTTAGAAAAATACTCAGACAATGTGTTTTGAGGAGATTCAAAGTACTTGGTGTTGTAGAAAGAAAAGGACCATTTTCTGCAAACGATTTGGAAAAACATAGCCAAAAAAATGATTTTTGCAATTTTCAGCATGATGAAGTAGAGCTGAGCATTCTAGCTTTAAAGGTACTGCATCCCTGTCAGTTAAAATTGTCAGCGTAGTAACTATATTGCCAATTTTATAAACAGGATACTTTCAAAGCAGCCTCAGCGTTTTGGGCCAATGAAGACTTGTACAACTCTACATCAACAGACCTCAATGATGGAAATGCCAAGTTCAATGCATTTAGCAGAATAGGCTTCGATTATGTGTGCATCGGAATGAAGTCTAAGGGTGACGCAATAGAGAACATCAAGTGGCTAAAGATACCAAAATCTTCATGTTCTTTGTTCGAGATCTTTGCACCTGGTGAAAGCTCATTTACGAATATCGCTATTCAAAAATGGAAGGTTTTGGTACCACAAAACGGCAACCCCCTGCAAGGTAACTGCAATAGGCAAGGATTCAACATTAAAAGGGATAATCAACAAAATATTTTTGCTAGAATCGGCATAATGGGTAACAACGAAAATGAATGTATCTCGCCAGATTCTGGAATTGGAGTGGGTCTAGATGGACGTATTGGTGCAACTTACAGTGGAACTGCCTATGCCAAAATTCAGGCTTACATTTTCATCCAATGACATTTGAAGACCTTGGACCAAGTGTTCCAGCTTTCTCGTGATTAAGAAACAGGAGCAGAAACAGTTTCTTTTGATAATTTTCATGTTGGTAAATTGATAATTGATAGAAGAGGCCACTAAGACACTTTCTGCTTGCTTGGTATTGTAGCTTATACGCACTAGCACCATCGGTAGCACAGGGCTGTATTCGACCTGATTTAAGGAATCTTCAGAAATTGGTTTCAAAAAGGGTTGCGAAACCCTTGAAAGTATTAGGAATAACAGCTATTAGACTGGCATAACTAATTGAAACTGAATAAAAAAGATGTTTAAAACCCTAAATATACAACATCCAGAATCTGACTGATTGTAGAGCATCATAAGATAAGAGGAAATTGAAAGTTTCAAAAAGCTAACAGAACATTAAGAAATACAAGGTTAAGGCGATGCACCTGAAGTTGTCACATAGAGAGTTCTAAAGTGTGGCATCATCTCTTTTTGACTTTTTTAATTCAGACCTCACAACCTAAAAGTCACCATGAAATACTTTGGAAGTTAACTGTGTTAGCAATCGGATGAGATATGGCCAACAAGGGGTGCCTATCCTGAAGGGCTGCAGGGAAGCTGCCCCAGCCCTCCTCCTGGAGGGGCAGAGGGGCAAGCACTGCCTTCAAATAATAACTTCTAAGAAAAGATTATAGAATCTTGTAGATAGTTGATGACTTGTTTGGCCCCTATCATTGTGTTAATTCCAATTAAAAATTAAAAAAATATAGAAAATTTCCTTTTTTTGCTGTTGACCTTTCATAAAGGAAAATTATTTTTCAGAAGAGAATAATAAACTTCAAAAACCAACGGCGTCTTATAAGATAATGACTTTTTTGCCCATTGCCAGAACGAGAACGATACGCTTTTTTGCCTTAATATAAGAAACACATTGCAGTAAACATTTATTTGATTTACCTCTGTTTCATGTGATTATTATTTTCCATGCTGCATTCTCGATGATTCTGCAACCATGGGGTTTTGAGACTAAGCGGACAATAAAAGCCAGCCCATGTATGATTTTCGTCTAATCAAAAATTTAGAATAATGATAAGGACATTTAATACCCACTTGCATGGATAATTTTGTCAAAATTATGCCTATGCGTAGAGCATTATACTGAAAAAACCAAGCTGTATGGGTGGAGCAGATCAATGTCATTATTTCATTTTGTACATCCCCAATCTCTCATAACTACTCTATTATGGTAGAGGAAAAAAATTGTACTTTTTGCCCTCAGCACCAGCACTGCCCCTCCTGCCTTGATATTTGCAGGCGCAGAGCTTTTTCTAAGGCAAATTTCCAGCTTCACAAATCATTATAATATCTCTTGACGATATTCACCCTTTAAAGCCAGGTTTCTGTCAGAGCAAATGCAAACGAATCCTCTGAATAATTTTATTGTAAGAGATCAACTTGTTACAGGTGTTGGCAGGGCTACCAAGAGTTTAGGTAGTTGAAGTGCAAAATCAGAAGTAGAGGCCCCTGCGAGCGAAGCGAGTAGAAAATTTATGCAGCTTCGCCCTTTAAATTAGCTAAAAATGCACTTCAAGATGTTTCTTGCAGTTATTTTCTTGAAACTGTGTAAAACCTTTTTTACTATTTAAGGCATATTTTGTTGTTACGTTTGGTTAAATCCCTTCTGAAAATGGAATTCATTACTTTATGTGGCCCTCTAAACCTCGAAGTCCTGATGCAATTTGCCCCCTCTGCCCACCTCTTGGCGGCCCTGGTTAAAATTCTGTTGTAACCTGCTGTATTCTAGCTGTATTGCCTTTGTACCACATTTGCAATCAGAAACCACATTCGCTATTTTCCGCTATGTGTCCTCTAGCCATAATATTAGCGGGCTACAACGATTATACATACTTATAGATGATATTCAGACAGGTAGTGTCTTGGGCTGATTTATATTGAGATCTGCATAATAGTGAAATTTGCTGAATGTCCGTCATTCATCCCACTCAGAACCTCCTCCCCCACTTCCGACGGCCCTGTCATCTTTAATTTAATAATGTTGACACGTTAAATTGTATATATATGCATTCTAGTATTCATAATGTCAAATGACTTTGTCTGTCTGCAGTCTGCAACATCGACTTCAATAGAAAAGATGTTCCATTTGTGCCACCTGTTGCACAATCGCATTACGAGATATCTCTCACTCTGCAATTTACGAACATGCAATGGTGGCTCCTATTTTCTAGACAATGCTAAAGAAAGGGTTAAATCGGAATCTGTATGAAAATGATCAATTGCTAGTAATAAAAAATTTGGAAACTCCCTTTTCGTTTCAAATGACTTTTCTTAAAGGTTTCGAAAGTCGTGTTATCAAAAGTCATGGATCGAAACGGGTTTAACCGATTTCTGTAAACTGATAACGTTTTGGAATGAATATAATTAAGATATCTAATTCATTAAAATATTTCTCAATCATGAATTTCCTGAATCATAAAAACTTTGGCCTGTCTCTTTGAAACGAGAATTTTTGCAAACCGTTGTCTTTCAATTATATATGATGTGAGTTCTTTTAAGCCCTCTGTACCCGTGGGCCCATGAATGCAACAGGGGCCCCAATATTTTTTCGAAAGTTTAATATGGTATCACACGGTTTCTCGTACACTAGTTTCTTATCAGTGCGTAAATGCAGAATCTCAACGTGTGTAAGTTTCAGAAATTGATATGGAGGATTCCATCAAAAACATCGCACCCTAACTTTACGAAAGAAAAGAAGGCTGCTCTACGCAACCTTATACATCTATCAAGAAATGAAAAATTATCAACATTACGACTTATTTTATAAATGGAATTGAAAGAGCAGTATAAAAAAAACATAGTTTATACAAGGCTTTAAGTACTAAAAAATATTGTAAAGGTGAAGGTTATTGCGAGGTGATCGCTAGAAACAATTTCAGCATTGATGTTAATGTGCCATGCCCTTTCTTTGTGATGTTGGGCCAAGACGTGATGAGAATTCATTTACTGGACTCCTTTTTTATTCACAACTCCTAGCCGTCCCGATAAGTTCCGGTATCAAGACTTTTTTACAACCACAGGATGCGAGCGATTTGTCCCGATCTGAAGAAAACCTGTCCGATTATGTTGCATGGGTAAAATTGCATCCTAGAGTGTATTTTTCAGCGAACTGAAATAACTCATATTTTAACTTTTTCTCGCCCTTCTGTGGTAACTATGATGCCACCTCGGGTAGTACGAAAATCAAGACGTTGTTTATGATTAAGGACGTATACTTGTCATAAAAAATTAGCAAAAATTCTAATTATTCATAAACATAGTAAAAAAATGTATTGTTCGACCCATTTAATAAGGCCCCGTTTACACGGGAACGGATAGATCCGTACCCAAGCTGGCTACGATAGGATCCGTACCTTTTCTGGGAGAGATCCGTCTCTTTTTGGGTACGATTCAAAAGCGAATCCATTTGGATCCGTACCTTCATCGGCGCCGTGTAAACGGGAAGATACGGATCCGCAAAGGCACGGCAGTAAAACGAGACTTTTACTGGGGTCAATGGAGGCTATTTCAATTGTACGCAATAAAGCAAAGCACTCTCCGTACAACAAAGAAACTACTCTCCCAGCCCTACTCTATTTTCCACAGTCGACAGCCTTTCTGAATCCTGTCTTCATCTTGTTTATTTTATTTTCGCATTTTCTTTTGTAACTTTTTCTTTATCCTGGCTATTCGGAAAGTTCTCTGTTGCTGTTTCTGGATAGGCCTCGAAAAATTTACGTAGAATGTATTCGTATTTCGACATAACAGTCTCCCAGTCTTCTCCATTTTGCATTTTAGCAGCTTTGTAATCCATAACTACTTTCATAAACAAAGCTGTCTCCTCGTCTGTCAATGTAAAAATGAACGCTTGTCGTTGCTTGCAAATGATGCCATCTTAGATATTCTCCCGCAAAAAAGAAAATTAACAATTATCTTGTCATTGCGCATGCTTAAAAAGAGAGATCCGATTTCGGTCCGTTGTGGATCGTACCCATATCTTACCTAAAAGGTCTGGTTCTTCTGGATCCGTTCCTTTTTCTTTTTTACAGAGAGTTTTAGGAAATTACTTTTATCTCAGTTTCTAAAAAAATAATCGGACTTCCACACTTATTGATAACGAGGCCCCGTATACTTTGTAAACATTACGGAGACATCAGGATTGTCAAAAAATACAGGAAATGTGTCCCCTATTATCTAGGACACTGACCCTGTTGAGAGGGCTATACAGGGGCGCAGTGGGAGTTAACTTTTTGGGTGGGCAAAGCTAAAAAATTTCCGATAAAACTATGATTTTTCCGACAAATTTTTTCTCAATACATTCCTTGAAGACTACCCTTGCTGCATATACTGCAACACTTGATACTACAATATCACGAATGGATCTGGAAATCGTTAACGAATGGATCGTTCGTTATACACCTTCAAGTTCAACAATAGCCTTTCTTCTAACAAAACCTACCAAATATAAATCGCTAACTGCAACTAGTTATACATTTACACCCTACAAGTCTTCTCGCTATACTAGACAATAAACTGTCACGTTAGTGTTTAAAGCTGTTTATAGCAGAAAGTTTTTTTGGCAAGTTTTTAATCGCATCATAATTACTTTGCACTTATTTATGCTAAACCTTAAATAGATATAACACGTCCAAAAGAATAGTTTTTCTTTAAATGATATTTATATAAACTGTTACTCAAGCAGCATCTTTCTCAAAAGAGGTGTGGCAGCATACAAATCGATGATGTCTCCATAGTCTATCGACTGTAAAATATCACTTTCAACGTTGACTGTTATCAGAGAGGAAAGGCGGTCTTGTCCCATCGTTGACCATAGCCGATTTTTTTACAGACCATAGCCGATTTAAAAAAGCTCTTTCATAGTTTGTTGAACCTATTGGCAAAGTGACGATACCAGCTGTGGAAAGGCACTTTGCAGGTTGCACTTAACTGAAGACTGAAGAACTGAATGAAAATTTTCTCTATTCAAAGCCTTGGCTAAACGATTAGATTTTTCGCTCGATCTTTCTCTCAACAATTGATCTCAAAATCGAGCGAAGTCGAGTATGGGTGGCCAAACGATTTGATCTTTCGCTCGATTTTTCATTCGACTTTTCACTCACGCCAAAAAAATGAAGGCAAAGAAACGCAAATCGGCTGCCGTGTTTATCTTGCGTGCAAATATCCTTTTACAATCTCTTGACGAACTCGAGCGACATAAGACCCAGGGAAGTATGCTTCCCTGCCCAGCATAAGAGATGATAACTGCGCACGCGCTCACTCGACTCACTCGACAAGGTGGCCAAACGATTCGATTTTCATTCGACGACACCTTTTCACTCGACTTTTTTGCTAAAGATCAAACTTCACTCGACATCACTCGACGCCAACTGATTTGCTCGACAAGGTGGCCAAACGACTATATTTTTCACTCGATTTCTTGTCGATTAAAAAATCGAGTGAAAAATCGAGTGGTTTGGCAGGGGCTTAAGACTTTCTCCTGCAGCCAGCTGAGGGCTACTCTTCTCTCTAACTTTCCTAAATTTACGGTAATTATTGAGGAAAGAGCTGTTCTCATCTCTTAATTTTTCGTCATCCAGGCCGTAACTCTTCGCAACCACAACTGCCTTTCAATTGTTTTTTGAAAACATTCAGCAAGGCAAAATTTTGCTCTTCTATCTAAGTCATGGCAAAAACAATAACTTTTTGCGTCTTCTACAACACCAGCGAATTAATTTCGAAATGAACTGAGTTGAACTTAATGAAACCAAATGAACTGTCGGAAATGAGAGTTTATAAAATAACTGAGACCAGAGCGTAAATACTGTAATGAAAATTAGTAAGAAGAGTTGAGCATGCCCTATTTTACGACAGGTTTAGAAAAATATGCGACCTTTTGGACAGGATCGATGAAAGCCTTACATTTTGTCTAATATTTCAAATTTTCCGACAAACGTTGGATTTTCCTACTATCCGACAAAATTTTTGCCGGGGGGGGGGGGGCAGCTGCCCCCTGTGCCCCCCCAGCCACTGCGCCCCTGGGCTGTAAGAAAATATCAATCTTATCCGAGTATTCAAAGAATAAGAGGTAATCTTAGTGAGGCCAATGAATTCGACTTTCAAACGACATCTGTCAGGGAGGGTGAAAAGCAAATTAGGAAATTAAAGCAAAAAGAGGCCACTCCGTATGGAAGAGTTCCAGCTAAGATATTAAACCAAACTCAGAAGATATTTTTTCAATGTATCTGACTTCTTTCTTTAATAGCATGGCTGAATACTGCGAATTTCCTGACATTTCACATTCTGAGCATGTCTTTACAGGGCATGTTTCCCTGTTTTAGTGAATTTTCAGCTCCTGACGTTCATAGATTGGAAGAAATTTATAAAATCATTAAGATTTCTTAGAGCAACGCAAGCAGCTTTTAAGACCCAGGGGCCCTGTCTTTAATGATCAAATTGCTGGTACATGTTTTGGGTTCAGAGACCACAAACCAACACTAATAGAGAATAAATGGACTGCACAGTGTGCTAATGGAATAAATGTACTGACACATGGGCTATATTTATTCAACGTAATTTGACATTTCTTCCACCTAGTTTCTTTGAAGAAACTGCTATTGCGAGTAAGAAAAGGACCTGTACGCTTTGTATGAAAACATTTAAATAATTTATAACGCTCCACATTAGCACAGGTATGTTGTAGAAATACAAATAACGATTCAAGCCCACAAAACATTACAGTACAAGAAACCTTAGGATTATGTGAAGAAATGGATGAAAGTGGATTTTATCTGGTCCTGTTTGTTTTAAGGTGAGCATGATTATTATTATTTTCGATGTTGATATCCAAGGCGTAAGGTTACGGTAAACGTTTTCTGGATGAAAACATCAATTTTTCTGATTTCTTCACATTCTACTAGCCGAAATTTCAAGGCACAAAATGAAGCCATGTTTGAACCAATAGACATTTTGAAAAAGGAAGAGATCCCATCAGTGGTGTTGTGCTATCAAAATAACAAGGGGGGCTCTTGCATAAAATGTTGTGAAAACAATAGCAAAGGTAGAAGTTTGCAAATTTTTGGCATTAGCAAGGGGGGTCTCAGCCCCCTTGAGCCTCCCTATCACTACACCCCTGGATCCCATTTTAACGAAGGTTTCCATAATTTTTTTACGTTGCTTTGCGGTTGTGCTCGCATGTCTCATTTACAATATTGCATGTATCCCATGTACGGTTCTATTTATTTAAACAGGCTTATTTAAAGTGTCATTTTACATGCTTTGCCAATTGTTTTGATATGGTTGGAATCGCCACATTCTTGTGCATCGAATGATGTATAGTTTAATCTGATTCCGTTAATAAATTGGCTCAAAGGGAGAGAAAACCAAATATCGTGTCAAAAACGTTTAACATAACCTCCCTTCTATATATTCAAACATTTTGTTTTATTTCAAAAATTCCAGAAGCCATGAAATAGTCGCTTTTATTTTGAAATAGAATTGTCCGTATCTGTACACTGAAACATTGCAAACAATATGTTAAATAGAAAAATTAAAGTCTAGATATGAATATCTGATATTAAAACAAAACGGTCTCCATCTTTAAAGTGCAGTAAAGCCGTTTAACTTTCTTAGTGAAAAAGCTAGTTTTGTTAGGATCAAACTATTTGCTAGTCGTATTGCAAAAATGACAGTTTCTGCTTGAGGCACATTGATCTGTTTTGTGTTTGTAATTGCGATTTTGAGGTATAAGAAGACCGATAAAAAGCCTTATGTGCTGTCTACTTTAGTTAGCCTGCGCGCAGACTCAACTGGTTTTCCAACCGAAGAGTTCAGTTACATGAATCTAAGTTTAGTTGAATAGAAGGTTTCCATTATGGCCTGACAGGGGGGTCAGGGTCGAAGAGGGCCAACGCTAAAATTTTAAAAATATACCCTCAAATGGTAGTGTTTTTTGACAAAAACCTTCAAACGGTAGCATAAAAAGCGAAATTATTTCCTTGGTAGCATCCATTTCTTTGTGCGCCCTTGGTCCTTTTTAGACAAACTTCTTCATAATTGATTGTTGTTGTTTCGGGAAAGAAAAATCTTATTCATTATCTATAACAAAACCCAAGCTAAACTGAGTAGTTTAGTTATTATCAAAAATGGGCCATTTGGTAAGACCCTCAAACGGACTGGACCCCCTGTTAGGCCTTAATGGGGGTACCCCCCCCCCCCGGGAAATGGCTAAAATCATTCCCGTCGCTAATTTTTATCGCTGGCTCCGAGCAGCAATTCACTCCATGGAAATCTTGTACAACGTAGAAGAATCCTGATGTTTTATCTGAATATCCGAAGAAATCATTTTTAGATGAAAATTTCGTTCGCATTTTACAAGAGTGCATGTCCTCATATTGTGCCCCTTGACTGTCCTCATATTTGTTGGTCATTGTGTTCAAGAAAAAGCTCTAACACGTTGAAATAACTTTCAAAACAATCAACATATCAAATAATTTTGCAATTTTATGGATTAATTCTCTCGAATAACTAACAAAACAATTTTCTGTTTTAATACAGATTGACAAGAAGTAAAACTTTTCGAAATTTTCCAACAGGTTGCAAAACTAACTATTCTAAATTCTTTTTAACGACAAAATAGACTCAAGTAAACGATTGTTTTTCTTAATTCAAGAAACATTCATTTTCAAGAAGTGGTTGACTTTCAAAATAATTTGCCCGAGACCCTATGCTGTTAAGTCAGAGTTAAGCTCTAACCTTGAAGTTGCCAAAGCTGGAGATGATATTAGTGGCGTCCCAACGGGGTGAACTCGGGATGGAAAACTCGGCTGGACTCCAAACTATCGATTCCTTTTTTGTTTAAACTTGTTGAAAAACCTTTGAGGGGGAGGGAGGAGGGTGACCAGATTTTCGTTCTTGAAAAAAGTTGCTTTTCCAAAGATTTTAAATAGATCAAAAATGCTAAAAAGGGCGTTCCCCACGTTTTCCAAGTGTCTGAAGGGCGTGGCCGAGTAAATATTGTTTGTCCATCCCAATTTCTTTGTCTGGCGATGCCACTGGATTAAGTCAACCCCCAAATTACCCACCTGTGCCTCTATTAAAAAAAATAATGACTTTTTAGCTTATTCTGCCACATGACAACATGCTGGATTCTACGGCTCCCGTGCAAAACAGAAGCGAACTTCTCAATTTCCGCAGCTGGCTATGCGTTAGATCACAACGTATTTGTAAGACTGACAATGTCCCTTGAGGATTGCAAGGTTCACTGCATGTACACGGACAATTGTCAGTCATTGAATTACAAAGTTTCAGGTAGTGAAAACTGTGAGCTAAGCAGAGAAACAAACGTATCCAAGCCTAACGATCTGGTCAAGAAGAGTGACTGGACATATTACGCGACAAATCAAAAAACGACCCTGGTAAGCATACCAAATTAGTTGCTGCGCTTGAAATGCGTTGTCTTCTTTAAAGATGTTTCTTCATTCATTGGCAATTGGCAGATATCAAAGTGACTAAAACTAAGCCGCTGTCAATCAAAGATTGGCCAATCAATAAATGTGATGCAACTCACACAGTTATTGATTGGCTAATAGAGTAGCGAAGTGTGACGTCATCAAAAAATCTCTTTGAATTTCTAAAATTTGACCACATAATCGGAAAGAACGACATAAACAACCTTTGAATTAGCAAAATCATTTGGATATGTTCAAAATTGGGCGAGATATGGTCAATGAAAGATTCAAAGTTAGCTAACGGATTACTGCTACTCTGGCCTGGTTCATAAAGTTATTAATCAAGTCCAAATTACAGAGGTTTGATGGGGCAAGAGCCTGTGCTCGAGAGGGGAGTGGCCATATCTCAGCCAATTTGTGACAAATTAAATTAATTTTGTATATTTTCAGGTATTTCATGACGCTCTTTCAACTTATGTCATCAAAATTCAAAAATTCTAAAAATAGATTATTTTTATGACATCATCGCTTTGGTACTCTGTAGTTGACTGACTGACGGCTTATGCCATATAAGTATCTTTCTGCTGCCTTTAATAATAAACAAATAGCTGGCAGAATGTATTTTTCACTGCTTAGGCATTGCGTTTGATATTTAATATTATTCTGAAATTTTGAGCGATGCAAAATCAACATTATTCTGAAAACGATGCAAAATTAAAATACATAAGACAGAGACTGTCCTTAATAAAACGCATAGAATAGAGCGCAATACAAACGATACCTTCCAGAAGCTGATATCTAACTTCTACCCCTATTATTCAGAAACACGTTGGTCACATTTTGCACGAAAAAGAGTTAAGTGGCATATAAAAAAATCCTTAAAAAGTTACCATTTTTTTCAAAGCGTTAAAAGAAAATTCTAAAAGCGTAAAAGAAGAACATTGTCTTTAGTTTTTCCTCTTTTATTTCTTCAATAACATACCCAAAAATGATATGAGACTGTTCCCGCCAGTTCTGGTCATTCTTCTGTCAAGGCATAACCTGTTACTTACAATTAATTTTGATTTCAGATTGGATCATTTTGCCAAAGAGAGCAGCCTTGCAAGGAAAACGAAGTCTGCATTGATGACTGCGTATGCCCTGGCTATCGTTGCATTGCCTGCTCAATGGAAAACATTTCTACCTATTGCTCTGCATTACGTGAGTAATAGTAGTGTCTTGATCTAAGTAGAAACCCCCTACTCTCAACTCAGTTTAACAGCTACAGTTCCACCGAAAATTTACAAAATTTGCCTGTTTTCTTTGTATTGTAAGGCAGCATGTTTATTTTATATTTTTTAATTTGCTTCTACCTAGCATCTGAAGATAGTTTTAGGACACTGAGAAGCTATGCTTATTGAACAGTGTTCTGGTTCAGTGTTCATATTTGTAAAGCATTGTTAAACTTTTACAGTACAAATATGATTTGTTTTTGCAAAAATTGCCATGCTACTAGGAGTCTAATTATGAGTTGAGACAATTTAATTACGAGCGGATTCCTATTTGCTAACAGACGCAGGGGCAAATGCCCCTTTGCCCCACTTACAATGGACCGTATAGACAGATCAAACTTTTTTAATTTCATTTTATGTACACTGCTCATTTTAAACATGATTATGCAATTTAGTTAAGAATGTCAATTAGACCCATCTTCATCCGTAAATAAGAAAACTGTTTACACGATACCATTTTTAAATGAACACTAATATCATACCATATACAAATGATACCATAAACAATTCAACTCAATGACCAATTTACAAACGCTAATAACTACAAAACGGCTAAAGAT